CGAGCTAACAGAAAACTTGTTTCCTTTATACTCTCTAAGGTTCATAGTTCCCAGTAGCAAAGTCTGTTTCTTTTCCACACAACAACTCACAAGCCCTCACCAAAAGATGAGGGGGCAGAATTGGAAGCTGAAATTGAGCACATACTAAATCCTATGGAAATGTCTTTTTTCTTCAGAGAACTTACTGTAAATGTACACTGTACAGAACAGCTCTACAGGAAGGAGAAAATGGGAAAAAAAAGCAGAATGTAGGACAAGGCCCCAAAGAATGAAAATCTAACAGTGTCAAAATGCATGCATGATGAATGATGCCAGCACCTCCAGATTCTTTGTTTAGTCAGACTGACTTCAAAACTGGGGGGACGATGGCAGGGAACATATACAAACCATATCCTATTACCTTTATTTATTATATTCCTATGTCATCAGCCTTCTATCACTTGCTCTTCAATATAATCTTGAAGAGAAATTACTGTTTCTGCCTGACTTCTCAGCAATATGTTAAAAAATCCCTCTTATCTAATAATGGTGCTAGACACTCCAGCTCCTTCAAACATGGTGAATGTTACACTCAGAATATTACAGTCATAGACAACTATCCCTTTAAAAGCTGAAGCAATAGATTCTTTACTATCTTAGTGAGAGGTCATAAAATATAAAAAAAAGGTTGTTCAGCTTACTGGTCTTTCATATTAGTTGCAAGGGCTGTGATCTGCCATGTTCCTCAAGCCATATTCCACGACTGCAGACAAGCTCAAGTGGTTTTGCCCTCTGAACAACAACACATTGTATTCAAAAGAATAGTTTTCTTGATTCACTGTCATCATCAGCACAATCAACCTCTCCTAAAATATATTTTTTTTCAAGAGGTAAGACAGGCTGATGCAATTATATTATCAGAAGTAAATGAAACTCTACAACCTTGTGGTCAGTGGCCAAGGAGTGGAAGAGAAACAATTTAAACAGGCACAGCAAGTTGCCTACAATCTTGGCATCTACAAGAAACCAGAAGATTACTTAAAAGCGCAAATGCACAAGGATCAAGAACAGCATAATAGTGTAATCTAAAAAGAATATAACTGGATGATGAGGAAAAACAGCCTTCCCGGTAGATTCCCCTAGTAATTCCTCTTTGCATAGAGTGCCTATCAAACATTTGCAAGCAGCCGTCCTGAGGAATCTGTTTCAGTAGTTGGTCACCTGTAGTTGGTCTCTACACTTCATACTACTACAGATAAATTCTTACAGTTGAGGATAGGCCATGACACAGAAGACAGAGATACACTGTACTGAGGAAATTTTTCAGCCAAAAAGGGGGAAAGGTCAGTATAAATAACCAAAGTGCTTAAAAGGTGGAGGATGCTGGAACAGGAGACTTGCAGTGTTCAGAAAGTTCTCACTTATCACAAAAGTTTCAACAGAAACTCTCTTTGGCCTTGAGGGTTGGAAAAGAAAGCAGGCAAGATGCAGTTTGGTGGAGGCAGCACATATTAAAATAAGCAATATTTATCACAATGAAAGAAAGTTTATGACATCTCCACACCAGCTTACCACTTACAACCACTTAGCAGCAGCAGCCTCTTTGAGGAATCCTCCTGTTTACATACTAATGCTAAGCAATCTTTTCAGTATCATATCTTAGTTCTATGCTAGAAAAGAAAACTTCTCAGGTTACACAGCAAAAGCCTGTAGCTATCACAATGATTTCATACACATTAAAGTGTAATTGGCACAGCCACGTTTGGCAGCTCTCCACATTTTATGAAATGCCTCAGCTATGTATCGAAGTTGAGAGTGCTCCTGACACTACACACACACAAAAACAACCCAAACCAAACACCAAAACCCAATGTGTTCATATATAAACCAGTCTTAACTTTTAAACAGAAAAATAAGTTGTCAATCTCTGTTGGATATGTTGAAACAACTTTAGTATTATTGCAGTTTACCTCATAGCTGCATTTTTCTAAACTACCTTGGCTGAACTGCATCTTGGATAACAATCCCATAGTGCGTAGGATAGTCTCAAAAGGGAGTTTTGTGGGAGATTTTTGGTAGAGCAACAATTCTACAATTACAGTAAGTTGCTAACACTGCCAAAGTGCAATTATCATTTTTGAGAGGCCAGTACTTGGCCTCCAGTCCTTCGTTCAGTTTTCCTCAAGTTGCCACTACCGTGGCTGTCTCAAAACAATATCATGGTCACCTGCTAAAGCGGTATAAAGTCAAAACTCATCCAGGTGTTTAAAATCCTGAACAAAAATTATTTAGGAAGCCATTTGATGGTGTTGTCAGAGAGGTGAAAAATAAACAAGCAGCTAGCTAGAGCCAAAGCCTAACAACAAAAATTGTATTGGCAGGATATTAAAAATTATTAATATTCTGGGTATTGGCAGAATATTAAAAAAAAAACCAAAACATATTCAGAGGTAGGCAGCTTGCTCCAGCTTAAACACAGCAGAAGAGAAATCACAGGCATGTAGGATAAAAAGCCTAAGTGATATGCTCCTTAATTAAAATCATGAGTTGGTAGAGGGAGGAACACTTTGTTCTCACCCTATATCCAACTGAGCAAACATTCATTTTAGGCCAAACAGCTTCTCAGACTTGCAGAAATCCTTATCTATTCAAAACACAGACAAACCAGTTTAAGTACTTCTGTATGAATTAAGCAAGCAACCTGGGAGGCTAAACCAGTTCTAAAGAGCAGCCAGCTTCTCTGGCATAATGGGAAATTACTGGCCTTCCCAGATGTGCATACACTGTTATTAAGACAGCTCTACCCTCCTATCTAAATGAACGGTTTCTCAAGAATCATTAGGGGACTTGAGAGAAAGCCAAACAAAAAAAGCATCTTCTTTATACACAGTCAGTTTCACTGAGGAACAAAAAACTTCACCGCCTCTTCTGCAAGTTTCATGTATGCTGGAATAAAGTCAAGTCACCTTTCTTCATTTTTTTATTACTGAGTCTGTTTCAAAGCCACATTCCCACATAAATGACGAAATTGTAAAATAATCCATAACTTCATACATTCGTCTCAGAATAAATACTCAGAACTTCATACATTCATCTCAGAATACTGATCCATTCAAATGCTGTTTAAGATGATTTATTTCTGCTAGCCAAAAGAGATGCAGGTAGTCTCCTCATTAGCTCAGTATTTGAGAAGTATAAAGGCACCTGTGTGGACCATTTCTACAGACAGGACCAGGCTGCACGGGGTACGTACAGCTTCAGGACTGCAGATTGTAAAGACTGAGCCTCTCACTCAACTTTTCTTTGCCAGTATTAACATGTGTCAACTTCCTCATATTGGGACTTTTTATTCCCCACACCTGAAAGAGAAAGCATGGAAAGCCCAAAGCAAAATAAGTGGCCAACAATTCTCCATAACAAATATGGAAAAGCTTGCAGGAATATGAAGGAAAGTGAAACTCAGTGACTTATTGCAGACCTAGGTGAAGCACTTCTCTGAAAACCTCTTCCCCAAAATTGTCACCTTCTATACTTTCCAGGCCATGTGCTCACCTGTAACAATAAACCATTTCCCTTGCTCATCCTTTCCGACTTTCATTGAGAAATCTAACCTGTTATTCCCCAGGAACTTACTCATCACCATCAGAGCTTCAGTCAGCTCTGGCTTCTCATAGAAAAATAATCTGAAAATTTCTGTTTCTAGTTAACAATCAGTTGTATTGCAGTGTTTCATATTCTAGGTATTTGCTTGGCAATTTTGATTATAGAAGGGAAAAAATCCAAACCAGCCTCAAACCAAAATCCTGAGGTTTCAAACAACTGACCAATTACTCAGCTGCTACAGAAAGTTAAATTCCATGTCTGTGTTATGGTCATTGCTCAGACTACAGGTAGCTGCAAAGCCAGGTTTAATGTCCACCATATTTTGGCTGCTCTTTGAGTGACAGCATAACCTAAAGACATTTATGGGAAAAACTACCAACATTAAAGTAGTATAGAGTAATTTTTATCATAAGATCATAGAACCATAGAAGGGTTTGGCCTGGAAAAGAACCTTGAAACTCATGTGGTTCCAATGCCCCTGCCATGAGCAGGGACACCTTCAGCTAGATCAGGTTACTCAGAGTCCCATCCAACCTGGCCTTGAACACCTCCAGGAATAAATATATCACCTCTTAGGCTGATACTGTAAAATCCTCGACCTCATCGATGAATTCTGTCTCTCGAGACTTAACCACTGCTTAAAAATCAGAGAAAAATAAACAGGCGGAAATGCAAGTTTCCGGTCAGAAAGGCGGCCTTGCTGGTCCGAGGGAGACGGGCAGGTACGAACAGCGGAGTACTGACATACAACGGCATAGGAGGGACCCGAGCCCCGGCCTGCAGCTCGCCAGCCCAGCCCGGGCGCACCTGGGGGCGCTCCCGCGCCGGCCCCCCGGGCCTTTGTTCCCCCGCTGCAGGGGCAGCGTTGAGGCGGAGCACGGCCCTGCCCAGGCACCCCCGATGCGCCAAGATAAGACATAAACAAAGCAAGGCCGGGCCGCCGGGGCTCCGCCGACCCGATGCGGCCCGGCCGGGGTGCGGGCCGCGGGGCCTCCATCACCGGAGCGGAGCCGCGGCGGGGCGGGAGGCGCCCGGCGCCGCGGCCCTGAGGCGCGACCCAACTCGGTGCGGGCGGGCAGCGCTCACTCACCCAGGTGAGCAGGCTCTCGCCGAGCTCGGCGCGCTCCAGGCTCTCCACGTTGAACATGGCGGGACTGCGGGGCCGCGGCCGGGTCGGTACCGCCGGTCCCGCCCCGCCCCGTCCCGGGCCGGGCGGTGGCGCCGACACGTCACCGCGCCCTGACGGACCGGCCGCGTGCGCCTGCGCCCGGCGGCCGCGGGGCGGGGCGGGGCGGGGGACGCGGCGCGACCCGGCGGCGTCGGGGGGACGGGGCGGGGCCGCGAGGCCAGCGGCGAGCGGTGGCTGAGGTACCGCGGGGGCACGGGCGGGGCCGCAGCGCACCGGGCTGGGCTGTCCATCCCTCACAGCCGGCCAGGGGGGACTGGGGAGGGTCAGGGAGACGCGAGTCCCTCCGTTGCATGCCCGCCGAGGCACCTCGTACGCCGCCGGGCCCTCGGGTAGGAGGCGTGTGCAGTGCTTCCCCCGGCTCCGTGTGTGTGTCTGTGTGTGTGTGTGTGTGTGTGTCTTGCCGCGGAGGAGCTGCTCAGGAGAGTGTCCGGCGGGGCTGGCAGCGTGGGTTTGTGAGGATGGTATACCACAGGCGTTATCCATGTTGGTGTGGAATGTGGCTTGGCTTCTGGGTGGAGCAGCCCCTACAAAGTTTTCCTCCTTTTGGAGTGGGAAATGAGCCTGCAGTCACAAACATATCAGTCTTAGTATCTCGTGTGGCTTGGCTTGTGTATGGAGCAGCCTTGACGACGTTCTCATCTGTTTTTGGACAAGACAACGACATTAGCTTCCTTTCAACAGAGCTCTGCTGTAGTGAATTTAATGAACAGGCAACCTACCAGTATCTAAAGGGGGTCTGCAAGGAAGTCAGAGAGACACTCTTTGTTAGGAACTGTAGTGACAAGGAGTAATGGGTTTAAACTTAAAGAAGGGAAATTTAGGCTAGGTAGCAGGAAGGAATTTTTTACTGTCAGGGGTGTTGAGATACTGGAACAAGTTGTCCAAGGAGGTTGTGGATGCCCCACCCCTGGCCCTGTTCAAAACCAGTTTGGATAAGACTTGAGCAACCTGATCTAGTGAGACGTGTCCCTGTCTGTGGCATGGGGATGTTGGGACTGGATGTTCTTTCAGGTTCTTTCCAATCTCTTAACATTCTACAATTCTATGAGTTACTTGCTTAGAACTAGTAGCAAGTGGTGACTAGGAAGAAGGATAATTAGATATTGAAATGGGCTGCCTAGGGAGATGGTGGAGTCGCCATCTCAATGGGTGTTCAAGAAAAGATTGGACATGACACTTGGTGTCATGGTGTGGTTAATAGGGAGGTGTTCAGTCTTAGATTGGACTTGATGATCTCAGTGGTTTTTCCAGCCTAGTTGGTTCTGTGTGATTCTTCAGGTGATTTAATTATTTTTTTATCTCAAAAACAAGGAGTCTGTCTGTGGCCAGGGTGCCCCTGCATCCTTGCTGTGCCCCAGCCAGTGGAGCTCTCCATCATGCTGCAAATGGGTCACCTGAGGAGTTCAAGCATCTCTTTTTCTCTCACACAGTAGTGTGTTGGATTTTGGACTATTTGAAGTTTGCAATGAGAGTGTGTGGCATCGTGATAAGTTCTGCAGTTCCCTATCAGTTAACAATGAGCCTGGCATGCAATGACATGGAGGAGCAGGCACAAAGCTCTGATAACGGTGGAGGGTTGTATAAACAAGAAGGGTCACAGATGTGGAAACTGCCACTATTTTCCATCTTTCCTCACACTTTTTCCATTTAATGAATTAGTAACATGGATAAAAACTAAATGCTCCCTTTATGTGAGCTTCTTTTGAACTGTAGAGTATTGTAGGAGCTATGAAAATTTTCAAGTTTTCCCAGGAAAGTACTTTCTTATTGATCTCAATCTGCTCTATAAGTTATAAATAAAATTTGTCTTCATTTAAAGGTAACTTTCAGTTTCAGGATTAATTTAAAGTTTTAGAAAACTGCACAACTACCAACTTTCCATTCCAAGTTTTAATGTGTGCTTTAAGCAACATGTTTGGTACTTTTGACAGCTTTCACAGGTACCTTGCATGGTTTAAGGTTGTCTATCATATCTTCCTCTGTGTCTCATTTCCCACTCTGCTTTGCCCATTGCCACGAGGTGTAGCTTGTATTTTGTTGACGCAAACAAATACTGTATTGCTTTTTTGCCTTGCTATCTGTTTTAGATATGAGGTTGTGTATGGAGGTAGCGCTTTCTACAACAAGGTATTACTGGGCACCTTTCCTAAGAGCGATCTGAAACCTCCTCATGCTTAGCTGAAGTACCACCATGTTCCAGTAAACATTATTATAATGAAGTGAGAATATTTTCTTTTTCTTCCTACCTGACCAGGAAAGTGAGGTATCCAAGCTGAAGGCATACGCGGGCTCTTTCTCATGCTCCTATCTGCATATTAATTCAGTTCCACCCTCTGGTTTGTTTAGAACTCTGTACCTTTCAGTATGGTTTTGCCTTACAAAGTGGTGGAAAACTTTGTTAGGGATTGTTTTACACAAGCCATACATCACCCAGGCAGATATTCAGAATAGTAATGCTAAACAGGGCATTGCATGTCTTCTTGCTTCAAGTCATCCATGTGGTTTTCGACTCAGGTTAAAAATTATTTGAGATATTTTGTTTTCCCAGTAGAATGGTATATTAATTTTGGATTATTTTCCCTCACAGCCTGTAGTTTGCAGCTGCATTACTTTTAATTTGCAAAACATGATTCCATCAGCAAAAGTAGAATATCTACTTTCTTTCTTCTTCTTTTGTTTTTTTTTTCTCTTTAGGAAAAAATGTGCCTCAGAGACTGCTGACCTCAGACCCTGCAGAAACCTGCTTTATCAGGCAAGTGCCTCAGTTGGTCAGTTCGTAACGTATACTCAACAAAATCATTGTTTGCCTACTGAAATTGCCCTCTCCTCTCTCTTAGCAAGACTGTTCAGACCTTTTCCATTCTCTTTTGCAAAGGGTATGCATACACTTGAATGTAGTCAGCACAGTCCTGAAAGCAAAGGTGGTTCATGGTAAGCATATAACTGAATATTATACAGCTGAGTTTGGCTGTATTTCTTGTACCAGCTGAACTTATTTGTAAACCCAAAGTTGATGCAAACTCATAATAATGATGCATTAGCAGACTGCATGAAATTCTAATAGGATAATCTCAAGTCAGTTTTGACAACCTTGTCACAGAATATATATCTCATCAATTTATATGTTGCTATATTATAGATTTTTTTAAAAATTTCTGTTAGTAAATGTGCCCTTTGGATTTTCTCCCACTGTGCAGTGGGAGGGGATACTTACAGTGCAGGGGGATACTTAGTACTAGAGATTGTTGTTGGTGCTTTATTCAAGTAAGACTGTGCTCACAAAAATGAAACGCTAATAAATCCTCTTTCCTCAAGAAACACTTTTTCTAAGTATACCATCAATCATTTCCATTATTTCTGTTCTATAAAGTTATATTTGTCTACACTGCTTCTTCAAAACTTGACTTTAGTACACTAAGGAACCTGGATAAAAATCTATCACCTCAGGATTTGGCTGATACAGGATTTAGGCTAGTAAACTCAGAGAGTCTTCAACACTTCCACTGTTCATGATGTGTAGTTCATGCCTGCTGTTGTTAATTGCTTCTGAATGCAGTCTGGGCATATCTTTGGACTCTTAAAGATATGCCCAGATAACTGGATAAAGATATACACAAATAACTATAGGATTCAGTTCACTGAGTCAAGTCCATTCCCAAAGTCCCATTGTCAATGACAGAGAGGGACCATGACCTGGTACTACACTGGAGCAGGAAGTAATTAGATAGCTTCTGATGAGACAGGTCTCAATTTTTGCCCTACATTTAAGAGTTTGTCTTTATTTTGGGAATTTTTGCCTGCTTTTCTCTTAAATAAAATGTGCTAAATTTATCCCTATAGATATTTCAACATAAGCTAATATGTGTTCAGGGATTAGATTACAGAATAAGCACGCTCTATTTTAATATGCCTAAATTCTTAAAAGTTGGTTTATATTGTCTGAAACAGGACAATCTTATTAGAAACTTTTTTATACAAATGAAACCAATTTTTTGTTTGTTTCTCTTACACAGAAGAAAATTTTGAGGGGTTAAAGCCTTTTTATTCTTAAGAAAGTGTGATTTGTGGTATTTGACTAGTTGGAGATGAATTAGCTTATCCTGGAAAACACACAACCTCTACAAATTAAGCAGCTTTTTCAAAGGGTGGGAGCTATGCTTTTGCTAATAAAAGGCAACTGGCAAAAGGAATTGCAGGTTCTGGCTTGCACCCTGGCCCACCATCACTTCATAATTAACTTATAGTTTTTTGAAGAACCAATGGTGGCTGTACTGCATCAAGAGAAAAACACTCAAAATAAAACTGAAATAAATGAAAATCCAAAACTCCATTTTTCTCATCCAGTTCACTCCCAGCCCATCCCATAAAGGACACATTGTTATCCAAATTACCTTTCAGATGTGGAGCAAATTGTACCATGCTCACAAAGTCAATACAGTAAGGTTAATAACTTGTGTCTCACATCAGTATTGCTTGTGTGTTACCTCATTTTTTACTTCTCAGACATCAAGAGAGCCTCTTATTTCTTTTTCACTGTGCTTGCACATTCCTTTGGTAGTGTGTCCTAAAAATCTCTGTGGTTTTAAGAGTATATTATCATATGGCACTTCCCTGATAAACTCAAAAAAATTAAAATACTTCAGAAAACTATGGGAAAAGTTCTGACTTTGGATAGCTGACAGCTGTTTAACATATCATGGTAAAGACTGGATTGTTTTTATGAGTCATGGCATAGGGTATTGTTATAGCAGTGCTTTATGTTGAACATTGAAAGTCCTAATAATACTTTTCAGATCTGAAAAATTAAGAAATAATACATCCCCACTAGTATATATCTTTATTCCCTCACATTTCAATGTGTTCTGTATGAATTTCCAAGAATAAAAGCCATTGTACTTGCAGTATTGCTCATTATAGTTCTCTTTTTTTTTTGCTTAAATCTGCATGCATTGTTCATACATAACCACAGAGGGGAAAATGTAACTTTAAAAAGGTCTGTAGACTCTTAAAATGTAAAAAAAAAAAAATTAGTGTTACCTTCTGTCAGTGATCACTCTGAGAAAAACTTATAATAAACAAGGTGATTTTCTGTACAGATGATTAATTACTGACAGGTTTACAAATAAAACTTTATGATTTTACAAACAGTAAATTGCATTCCTTTCAATTGCAAAACCTTTTGTGGACAATTTACTCTGAGGTTGTTTATACTCTCTAGCCATCAAGAGCTCTCATGGAAATGAACCGGTTCCCAGTCTAGTGGGATGCAATGTCAAGCTGTAACTTAGCTAGCCCAAATGGATGGAGGCGTAACTCCTTGTCTTTGTCCCCCTTTTCTGTGTTGTTTTACTTGAAGCAAGTGCCAGTAGTCTGAAGAATAAATAAACCTGGAATTTAAGATTTGGGCTTTGACGGTGTTGTTTTTGAAAAGGAACAACCTTTAGGAAAAAGGCCCAGCTTTTTTGTCAGTTTTTAAGTTTGCGATTGATATTTTTAAAATTCTGAAGTTGGTTGTACAAATCCAGTTTTGATGTGAGTATTATTAGATGTTGCTTGGTTTTCATCCTCTCATAGGCTGGAGTTATGCTTGCATTTAAGGAAGCCATCTTTATGAAATGGCTAAAAAGAGAAAAAGTCATAAGTATAACCAGAAATCATTTATCCGAATTTAATATATTTTCAATTACTGCTTTTTTTCCACTGAAGTAATCTTACACAGTTGGTACTTTTCTCATAGCTAGCGTAGACAGGAATTAATTTATTGTATTAAAGAATAGAAACAGAGCAATGAGAATAATTCAAACCTTCTTTGCAATTTTAGAAAGAAACAAGGTAACCTACAGCAAAGAAAGAAAGAAAGAAAACCTTTAAAATAATTTAATATCTGAAATGCCTGTGATGTAGAATCCAGATCTGAAAATAATTATATGAGGAAAAGGTTGATGAAATGCTGTCATTTTTTCATAACTGGAAAAATGTAATGAATCAATGGATGGAATTTAGTATGAGCCATACTAACTCACTCTTGAATTGCGTCAAATTATTAACAGTGACTATTTTAGGAGTGGTTAGATATAGGTAATAAAATCTGGTTCTGGAAGGTTTCTCTGACACACACTTGGTGTTTATCAAGGCTGGCTGTCTCCAAAGACTGAGTCTTCATTACATTATTTAAATGTCCTATAGCTTGCCTCTTAGTTGCACCAGCTGAAAGAGCAGCAATTGCTGAACACAAGCACTGTGAGGCGAGATTTCTTAGAAGCTATTTTTATTCAAACCACTGCAGATCACTCTTTGGCTGCTGTAGTTGCACTTGAAGAAACATGAACTGCAAGCCTCCAGTTCTGGGTATTTTGTTTGAAAACATTCAAGATAGCCTTGAAATCACAAAATTCCTTCCTCCTTTTTTCTATTAGTGTATTTTAACATTTTGTTTGTAGACATTGCTTTTTTAACATGCTATCTTAGAGATAGGATGAGGAGGAGATTGTTACTGTCTCTACTGAGGCATGAATTCAGAGAAAGTATGTATTGGTTCTTTTGAAGTGATACCCTCTGTTTTGTAGTACCTAGTCTACACAAGTCTTGTCAGCTCTCCTGTGCAATGATCTTATTGAGAGAAAGTGTTGGAAGTAATAAGAAAAATATACAGAGCACTTGTTGGCTGTCCAGAAACAGCAAGTAAATTAAAATATGAACAACATGGGCATTAAGCATTGATAATTTGTCTTCTTTAGAATTTAGTGATAGAAGCAGCTGGGAATGAGGCTGAGGCAGATTCCACTCCCCCTCTATATAGTCTTTGCAGTATTGATACATAAGTAAAGACAAAGTGTCTCAGGGAATGTTTATGCAGAGAGAAAAACTGTGCAATAATTTTTCTTGTACACTATGCTTATTTCAAAACGTTATTGGGAAAGTCATATATGTTTCAAAATGAAGGGCTGAAGTAGATATAAGTAACTGGCATTATGTGTAAGAAGGAAGAGAAAGTGAGGATCTGTGTATTTCGTTTTCATGTTCTGATGCTAACTTTGGCACCTTAGTTTGGTATTTCAAGAAAGATGAGTGAGCAGAAATTAAGGCAAGCAGATGCAGTGAATGATATTGATGGTAGGCAGATAAGAATTTGGAGTGTTGTTGCAAGGAACATACAGACAGGGAAGAGCTGGAGTAGATGTCTTGAAGCCTGTTGAGGGAAACTGATTTAAATTGGTGTGATATTGATAATCTTGGTGTTGTTTTCAAAGTGCGTCAAGCAAGCAGTGACAGAGGAAGTTCAGGTGTTAATATAAGAAGTGCTTGCCTTCCAAAGGTACAGTTAAATTGTCTGTATGTCTCTGGCACAATAGGCATTTCTGAAAAAAAACCCAAACCCAAAACGATGGGTAGTACTTAATGAGATGTAGTTGTCATTGGCATGTTGGTGTATTCTAGCAGAACTGATGTGGAGCAAGGGAGGAATTTTACCAGTTCCTTGGCATTTATGTCTGATTTTGTTCTGAGTGGTCAACCCAGAAAAAAACAGTGGAACAGAGTAAAAAATTAGTCAACTGATAATGATACTTAAGGAGGAAAAACATAGAAATGGAAGATATTAGCATGCACAGTTGTGGAAAATGGCTGTCTCAGAACGATGCAGTGTAAGAAAGACAAGCTTCTTCAGGACAGGATATGCAAAGAACTTAAGTATATAGGCAGGTAATGTTGTGTTAGGGAGGCATCACAGCACACTTGCCAGTCCAGATCCTCAGCACCAGGGAACCACAGCTCAGAAAAATTTCACAACATCTTAACCTCATGGCTTTAGCTATAGGAATGTAATTGTGTAACTAGGTATGCAGAGAAATGCTCTAACTCCTTGTGTAGCCCCATGTTCCTATGTAAGACCTTTCCACAAAGATCTGGTCTTTCATTTGTTAGTATATATGAAACGTGTGTAAACACTGACCTACTTCAAACATGCCTTTCTATGACTCACTGGTGTTCCACCTTTGAAAGAAGTTACTCTTTCCAAATACTGTGACACAGTTGCTTGTTGAAAGCTGTAATTAGCAAAAAATTGACTATACTTACAGAAATAATAGTCTCAGTTCAGATTGGCACACTTAGGATAACTTAGTTTATTGTTTCACTTCATATATGCTTCATTATTCCATTTTAGCTTTCACAGGGAAAGCCCAAAAATACAACAATTAATGAAATCTCCCCTTGTTCTCCACAAGTTTGCTCTGCTCTTACATACTTACTTATACCACTTACACTTCTTAACAATACTCTGAGAATGTATCAACTTCTCTTGTATTCCTGCTACAGAAGGCCCCTGCCACAAATGTTAGGAAGCTTGAAAAAAGCTCTACTGCTTATACTAGAAAAAATGTGGTGGGTGAGAGTAGCTGTCTTAGGGAAAAATACGCTTTTTTATTAGCAATAGACTGACATGCTGAAATTTTGTCAGGGTATTACAGGTATCCACTAAAATCCTGATGACTTGTACTCCATTTCAGTTTTGCAATTAATTCAGGGCCAGAGGGTGTTTGGTAATATTTTCTAGACAGCGAGGTTTAAATTAAAAATGACACATGAGCTGTGGAGTGTAGTGAAACACTGATGAAAGCTTGCAAGCTGGACTAGGAAACAGAAAAAGATACCAGTCTTGATGCCTTCAGAAACCAATACTGGGATTTTATGACAGCTTCATGGAAAATAGAAATGCATGGACAGAGCTTCAATATGACTTCTCATGTCATTTGACAGAGTTAGCTTCACTGTTCTGATTTTGTAATATTCATAGCCATAGTTCATTTCACTTCCTGATTGCAACAGCAATGATTCAGCAGTGGGTTGGAAACTATTTTATTTCACGTCTCCAGCTGTAGGTTAGTGCTGTGGGTTAAAAATGTTAACCTTAGTCACTGATGGCTACAAATGTGAAACAAATATAAAACAAGTGAGTCTAACTAAGGATAATACTATTTTTCTTTCAAGTTTTCCCCGTGTTTCCAGCTAAAGGCTGGTAATGCACAGAAAACGGAAATGAAGTTTAAAATGTATTGGGTGATTCCTGTGTATCGCAATGAGCATTTAACACTGAAACCAAAATGTCCTTGTTTCTTCATTCATGTAAGTGCTGAAAGTTAAGTTTCTGTGTTGGCTTAGCCTACCAGGAATGATGTGGTGTGTAATAACTAAAATTCTTGATAATGCAGTCTTTTAAACTTTCTTTCAATAGACAGTCCTTAGAATATGGCCAGTTCAGTAATGACCTATTCCTATGCAATTTATCTTATAAAGATTTCAAGGTAAACTATCTGACTAATTTTTTTAATTTTTAAATCATAACACATAACACATTTAAGATTTGTTTGCTACTGCATAAGACCTCTACAGCAAACTCAGTGTTCGTTAAAAATGGATATATTCCTTCTTTTTGTACCACTCTTTTCTCCCAACAATGACTATTCTGTTTACATATTGTTTGTAACTGTGTTTAAAATGTCTGTGCACATAACAAGACATGACACATACATTTTAATATATGTATATATATCTATTTTTTTTGCATTTTAGAGCTGTGATGGCCAGTCACCAAGCAGAAGTTCAGAGTTTGAAGCTAGATAATGATTCAGTTATAGAAGGAGTAAGTGACCAGGTACTGGTGGCAGTTGTGCTCAGTTTCACTTTCATTGCTGCTCTGGTATATACGCTTTTAAGGTGAGAATGTGTTGAGAGGAATTATTCATTTTTTATAAAAATCCTAACTTTCTTCACAATTGCGTGCATTGTTACATAAAAACTGTGATTTTGTGATAGTAAGGAAGGGGTTGTTTGATTGCTTACTATGTTTAACTAATTGCTTGGTACACCTAAAATCAAAAGTGGAGTTTAACGCTTCCATATCTTCAGATAATCAAGCTTAGTGGTGTTCATCGTTCATTAAGACGGAAAATGGTTAAATTCACAGTCTGTATGGCAGCTGTGTTGTGTTTGGTTAAAAAGTACAGATTTGTCAACGACTCCAAGATTAAAATTGGATATATTCCTCCAATGTATGTTCTAGCTGAAGTCTCCTTCCAAGAAAGCAAACAAACAACAACCCAAATCCAAATAAATTGATTTTTTTTTTCGAAAGAGTATGCTGTACAACAGTGGACTGCAATGTGCATTCCATACAGGAAAATGTTAAGTTCAGAATTCAGTAACTTTAATGATGAAGTCATCAAAGCTTATTTTTATTTCAGAGTTTTTCTGTGCATCCTAACAAACATCTTAGCCTATGTGTTTTGGGAAAATGAGCTTCAGATTGGCTTATTTTATTTTATTTTATATTATTTTATTTTATCTTATTGATGCGTGTAAACCTCTGAACAGAGAACAGTTTTCAAAACCAAGGGAACTCAGTTTTAGTGACGCAATGGCATCATGGAACTTGAAGAAGAAATGTCCACATGAGAAATATTGCTCAGGTAGGGTTACTTGAGAGCAAGCTACTAAATAAGCTATAGGTAGAAAAACTTGGTTGGACTGCAAGGCAGTGCTACTGTTAAGGACCAGGATATCACAAAAGAATCTAAGAAAGGCATTCACTTCACCTTGCCTTTTTTTTTTTTCCAAAGCTGTTTCAGTTACTCAGATTGCTTTAATAATGCCTCTTTTTTATCTGCTCTGTTATGATTTCTCTGTCCTTCATACTGACATTTTTGGCATTTGTGACTTGAATTTTAAGTGTTTAGTTTAAAAGTTAACACTTTATTTTTGAACTCTAGAAAGGCAAGTAAGAAATATTTTTAAAAAAGTGAGTGGAACAAGGGTCAGCAGTTGACAAGAGTAGCAGGAGTTCAGTCAGAATTAAGTTCAGGGAGATGATGCATCAATTATGAAGAGTTACTTAGGGAGGCAGATAAGGCTAATTATCGACTGCCTCTGCAGAGTAATGAGGTAGGTAAAAAGTTTGACTGTGAATCCTGTTACATGCCTTGATGGTTTATTTTCTGGAGGGGCAAACAAACTGAAAACACAAAGCTTCCAGACTTTGGAGATCTGTATTGTATGATTTGTGGCCAGTGACAGGACTTGAGGAAACACGTGAAGCTGAATCAGAGGAGATTTAGGTTAAGATACCAGAAAAAAGTTTTTCACCCAGAAGTTTGAGCAGCTCCCCAGGGAAGTCACAGCACCAGCCTGATAGAGTTGAAGATGTGTTTGGGCAATACTCTTGTGCATATGTGTCTTGAGATGTCCATGTAGGACCAGGAGTTGAGCTAAGTGATCCTGAGGGGTCCCTTCCAACTCAGCATATTCTGTGCCTGTGATTCTATGACTGACAACTGAAAGTCTTACCAGTATCCTCTTAGCTCCCTGCTCTGCCTTCTGGTACCTTTTGAAATTGTCTGTATTCAGCAGCACTCTTCATCTATCTTCTTTGTATTGTTGCCCTCAACATCTGCATAGTACTTTTAATTTATTTAGCAGAGAGGAGGAAGTGAGAAAGAAAAAGAATATTTTCTTTTTCTTCTCTAGTTACCTTAGACAGTACAGTGGTCTTTGTGTTGCTTATATGGTGTTCATTACCCCAGTTTTTTTCTTTGCCTTTCATGCTTCTGTATCAACAGAACTGAAATACTTAAGTTGGGTAGGAACAGGTCATGGGTAAGTATACAGGAAGGAAGCTTACAAGGTGATGAGTAGCTGCAGGAGCTGAATCAAAATGGAAATGAGCAGCAAGGAGTATGTATTGCAGTAGATTTTAGGGGGCAGAAGCAGAATATGGAGAGAACTATTAAGGGATATAATTGTTGTACTTGTTTCCAGGTGAAAGAAAATGAAGCATCACATCAAGGCTTCATTCATGCTTCTGGCGGAGAAACTTACAAGCCATAATTAACATTTTTAACAAGTTGCAGCTGTGTAGTTCAGGCACTATATGATACTTTTGTGAAGCCTGTATGCTTTTGAGTTATAAATTTTGATAAAATGAAGCCAGATTTTTTCCATCATCTTTTAAACTGGTGAGTAGGTTGTCACATTACAAATGAGATTGTGAAAATTCAGTGTATTCAGCAAATTAAAGGAAGCCTGATCCTTTAATTCCCTACAAGGGATTTGTCCTAGATGACTTAACTGTTCCATATTTATGGGTCTACATGTTTAGATTTTTTAATCTAATTTTTCTATCCATCATATGGTTTGATTATAGGATCAAGTACTATTTTCAGCAGAAGTGAGATCTTAGTCCTTGGAAATTAACAGTGTCCATCACTGCACAGTGATGCACCAGTCCCCTTAAGTACTATCCCTCTATTTCCTTGTGTGAGACTGCACACTGAATGAGTCTTCTTCCTTCCAATAATAGTTTGGTGGGGCCCTCTGTGGTACATAATACAATCTTTCCACATCATGGGACCTTTTCCCTCAAGTTTTGGCGTGCTAGCAGTCAGAAATAGCGAAATAAAAGGCCTTTGCATCTAACTTTATTTCTTTCTGGCTTGTGTTTGATAATGCCTCTAATGACATGGCACCATATTGGTTTTTATTTATTCAGTTATCTTCTCACACTAATTGCATGACAGAAGTTATAAATTTGATATGCCTTGAGCTCTGCCTGTCCCTTCCTGAACTTCGCATGGTTTTCAGCTACATCACTGTCTTAGGCATAAGTGACTGTACATGCTGTACCCCTGCAGCTCTACAAATGCTCTCATGATTTCGGCATAGTATGTTATACCAGGGTAAGGTCATATAAATGAACACTTGCAGTAGCAAATTTGCTACTGCTAATTTAGTTGTTTATGGAGAAATCAGAATAAACTGTCTTACAATTCATGCCTTGCGCTTGTGTGTGAATCAAATTGGACTTCAATATATATCAGACATTCTGGAAAACTGAAGATGTGAAATACATTTATTTTGTAGCATCTAAACAGAAAAATAGTTCTATACATATAACATGTATAGCAGACAACATCCACAAAATCTGATTCATGGAGACCAAAGGTGCATAAGAAGGGTTTTAATACAGGCTTTCTATCATCCAACTTTCATATGTCACCCATATTAGTATTAAATAAATTTTCTTTTTACAGATGGTCATGTAAATTTTAGCATGAAAAATATGGGACTTGTCTATTTTTCTTTGAAAAAAGAATGAGGCAGACAAAATTTTAAACATTTTAGCAATAACGCAATAAACATTTGAGCAATAATGCAATATTATGATTGCCCACATTAACTGAAGGAAAATATTGCAGAAGCTTCTAGAGCCATTGAGGAAATTATATAATATAACTGCAACCAGAAAATATCCTGAAAGTTCAGCCAGTCCAGCCCTCATCTCTGACAGATGATCAGCTTACCTCAATATCCCTGGAAGTATTGCAACCTGTTTTTTTGATTTAACTTTTAGTCAGGGATAGACCAAAGTAGCCTGAAGTAATCTTGTCTGATTTTATACATTATGTAGTTAGAAATGTGTTTCCACAAGCCTTAGATAACTGTGGGAAATAATTGCTCATATTTTTAGACTGAAAGACTTTTCCTGTCCCCTTTTCACTCCATGAACGGTTTTTTATATAAACTGACATTTCTTAAGTCTTTCTCTAATGTATAAAAATTGTGGGCAGTAGTTCCTATTATCTTCTGAACTTTCTCCAACTTCTCTATGTGTTTCTATGCATTTAGCCCAAAATGGTGAACAGAATCCAGCTGAGACCTCAAGAGTACTGAGCAGAATGTATCATCATTCAAATCCATATGAATTAATAAAGCATAAAAATTCATATGCTATTGACTCATATTTATTGTAACTCAACACCTCTGATTGCTGTCAGCACATTTTTAATTTCAAATCTGTCCCATTATGCTTTTGAATTTCAAATTTGAAATATATCCATCCTTCTTTCTTCATTGTGGCCCTACCCAATGATTCCTCTTGGTGTATCTAACCTGTAGTTTGCCTGCCTGTAGAATCTTTCTTTTTTTAAAAAAGAGTGATTTTAAAAGAGTGGTTTATTTTCATATCCAGTCTGCTGATAGTTACATAAATTCTATATTCGAAATGCAATTTTGTCTACTCTTTCTTATGCAAATGTCATGTAGCAGATAAAATTGAAGTAATTAGGAGGTTCCAACTCTGTGACTTGGGCAGTGAGTGAAAAACTAGTAATTTATTGAGTAATTTCTTGAGTAGACCAACAAATAAGAAACTAGCAATGGAGACAAAAACGTGTCTTTAGTCAAAAAGCTTTCAAGCAACTTCATTTTTTTTAGGTTCAAGGCTTAATTTTTTCTCAGATTAAAATTAGTTTTAACATGATTTAATGATTGGTTGTGGAGTCTCTGAAAAATCCTGCCGCTGTACAGCTTTAAGTGTCCAAAGTAACTTTAGGATCCAGAATAAATTCCTGTTTCCTTAATTATTTGTGTACTTCCTTTAAAATCCTTTATAGCAGGAAATATTTTTTTTTTTGCCCTTTGTTCAGGTTTCATATTTGTTTCAGTGAGTTATTTTTCAATGTTGGATCACAGGGCTTTTTATTGCTTGTATTTCCTTTCACAGAAATGAACATCAGAACATACATCCAGAAAATCAAGAGCTAGTGCGAGCTCTTCGTCAGCAGCTTCAAACTGATCAGGTGCTGTACCAAGTGTTGGCATCATTCAGCTCTCTGATGTGGGGTACTGCAGGCTTCTCTGAGGTTATGGAAGATGATGATCTTGAAAGTTATGGGAGCTTACTTACTGTACAGAGGCATCCTTAAAGTCCATCAAGTAATGGGATAATGTGCCCTTTTTAATGGATGCATCATGTAATTAAAACTAAATTTTGGCTGGTTCTTCTTTCAAATAAGTTTTTGCCACAAGGTGGAGTATGTTAGATTATGCTGTGTGCTTCCTGGAATGTTCCTGGGAACTTTAGGGTAAAGGAAAGGAAATCTGGAGTACAGTTTGCTGAGAGAGGACAGGGGTAGATGTTTAGACTGATAAGCAGTGTGTAGCAGAACAATGGCACAGCAACAGAAGCCAGGCACAGACAGACAGAGAGGAACTTTTTAGCAAAGCCTTTAGTCACAGGACAGAGAGTAGTGGTTTTAAACTGAAAGAAGCTAGGTTGAGATGGGATGCAAGGAAGAAATTCTTTTCTGTGAAGCACTGGGGACAGGCTGCCCAGAGAAGTTACGAATGTCCCATCCCTGGAAATGTTCCAGGCAGGGTTGGATGGGGCTCTGAGCAGCCTGGTCTTAGTGGAAGGTATCCCTACCTATGGCTGGACAGTTGGAACTTAGTGATCTTTAAAGGCCCTTCCACTCAGACCATTCAATGATTCTATGACTGCATCTAGTTAAACTGGTAGAGTCTATGCCATACTTTTGGAGAATATTGAAAAGTCTTTTATCGTTATATTTCTTGAAATAACGACTGTGCATATTTATGTGGAAGACAAATATGGCAAAATGGGGAGAAAAACAGTTTCATGGCAGTGACATACACAAGTTAATATCTTTGTGTGGGCTTGGAAACACTAAATGCTGCAACTGGTAAGCAACGCAGTTTGGTTACCTGGCTCTGGACAGAACCACTCAGGATAATGAAGTAACAATATAGATCCAAGTTTGTTATTCATGCTCTAGCATGTCTAACCTGACTCATTGTGAAGGACCAAGGAGGTTCTTTCTTTGTGGTCTTAAACTGGTTTGAAGCACACACTTACTTAACAGATGAAGGGAAAATAATGGTCCTGTCACAAGAATGTGCTTATTGAATCAATACATTTAACTATGTTTAGTTTTTTACATTTAAATATATTTCTCATTTCACATAGTTCTGTGTTTGACAGTTTAACTTATAGTGAATGAACACCAATTTATTATTTTTTAGAACTCAGTTGACTTATATAACATAGTATCTCCAACACTTTGTGTTTTCCTGCTGTTCCAGCAGGATGCTTCTGCTGGTGATCGGCATCGCTTCTATACAGATATGTCGTGTCCAGTCTGTTTGCAACAGGCTACGTTTCCTATAGAAACAAACTGTGGACATCTCTTCTGTGGTAAGCAAGGAAAGCTCCTAGCACCAAAGTTAAAAACAGAACAGAAATACAAACTTTTGGCACTAGCTCAGGCATCCTAATTCAAAACTTTGTTTGCTTTTAACTGTTTATCATTGCATCTGCAAAATAAATAATTTTTTATAAATAGTTGAGAAAATACATTTAGGAATAAACAGTTACTTTAAGAGTGTGCTGCATTGTTTTCTATGCTATCAGGAATGAAACTGTTTAATTTTAAAATGTCAAAGAGTATAATTTGTTTCCAGTTTAGTAAAAAACTCAAGATGTTGAAGAACATTTGGGAATGTACCATTTTTTTAAAAACTGTTTTAGAAATAATAAAATATTCTTTATTTCACAAAATATTTTTCTTGGAAGTTCTGCAGAATTATAAGTAAGTGCAAAATTGATTAAAGTGTTTGGTTTTGTAGTTTTTTGAGGCTATATTTATATACTGACACCCTATGTAGCATTTTGCTTCTTCTCCTTCATTTTCCCAGTAGAATTCTTCCATCTCTTTTTTTTTTTTTTTAGTATATAGCATATACCATGCCCAGTTGTTTAAATGAAAAACAAGCAAGTTTGGAAAACAGATAAAATACTTACATTTTTATATTTGTCTTCATCTGTTGAAACTGATGATGATAAAGCCAAGTTTTTAGGATAAATTTTACATCTCTTGACATTTTTGTGACTTCTACATTTTAAACTGGCAACAATTTTTATTATTTGCTTCTTCACTTAATGAATAAAAATTTGTTGTGTTTCCCAGAAATAATGCCTTAAAATTATTGATTCAGTTGAACCTGTTCAGGAGTTTTCTCATTAACAGCATTGAATTTGAAGACGTTAGTTCTTGGTATCTTCAGTGAATGCTGTACACAAAATTACATCAGAAACTGTAGATTTAACCTAACTGCTTATATACACTTTTTGTTGTTTCCTTTGCCGTGAAATGTATTATTTCAGGCGATGCATTTCTCATCTGAGGAGTTTAAATGTGTGTGTACCTTACCTCCACCAGGTTCCTGCATTATTGCCTACTGGAGGTACGGCTCATGGCTGGGTGCCATCCGCTGTCCGATCTGCAGACAGACGGTAATATTTTAAATCATCAACGACCTGTCAGTTTGGCTGTCTAGAATAGCCTGCCAAAAGGCACTTACATGTGAGCTGCAATAGTGAGGCTGGCAGATAAAGAAGTCTGAGAAACTGAAAAAGTACAGAGGGATATGTGAGACAGGAATGGTGGACATTCAGTTTTTCCGAACTTCTTGCTTTGACAAATGGCTCCAAAAATTCAGATTGTTCTGCAATAGTTGATAGCTCAGCTATTTTTCTGTAAAGACTATATGAAAACAGAAAATTGTGAGATTTAAACTATGATCCTTTCATGCTTTCTGTTGAAGATGTTATTAACTTCTTTTACCAGAATTTGCATCTGAAAGGCTTGGCTGCACACTACTGGTTCCTGAGAAATACACTCTCTCTTCCCTCTGTCCCTACCAAAAGACCTATCCATGTCAATTTCTTATTTTGGTCTTATTTTTAACTTGTATGTATTATTAATTTAATCTTTGTAGAGAAAGCACTAACTTACTTCCTACGCAACTTACTTGCATTGTCAGTTTGAAATATGTTCCTGCAACTCATTAAAGCTTAGGATCTCTGAGTCTGATAGTGTATGTTTTAACAAAAGTACATCTTTATTTTAACAGTGCACAAACTACAGAGCTAGTAACTTCTGATGAATTATGTAACTCATGTCCTTGTCCCTCCATTGTATCCTATTTTGATTGTGTGTATCAGCAGGACAAATGACTGTAAGAAGACAGTTGAAGGAAGAAAAAATAGATATGACTGGAAGAAGAATGAGTAGGTTTAGAGTGTAGCCAGTGAAGAAAAAGACACAAATAATAGGTGGGGAAGGTGTAGAAAAGGGGAAAATAAGTGATTTTCTTTATTGTCTTTCCTTATATATATATCTTTTCATTTATGTTTCTCTGAGTAACAGGTATATTAGGTGGCACAGTTTGCATGGTTATGTATTCATTCTAACCCTGATTTATAAATGGTGAAGGGAAAGATGTATATATGAACATGAGTCATACAACAGGTTTGTGGCAGGACCAGAAGTTGAATGTAGATCTTCTTATGCTCTCGTTTCTGAATGTGACTGCCACACAGATTTATATTTAGTTGCCAGTTACAGAGGAAGCTTCTGAAGACTATAATAATTTAAAGTACTATGCCTTCCCTGTTTCCCATGATAATCTGCATTTTTTACCTGTACATTGCTTCCAAATAGAAGTCTCAGCAACTCCTATGCAGAAAGATAACATACGTAAGGTCATACTCACATGTATCTTATTTCTCTATGTTTGCATGAAAGTTAACCCGAGAACAGAGCAAAGTTCTCAAAGTCCATACAAAATAGTTGAAGGTTAATATCTTTTTCTTAATTCATCTCGGTATGAAGATCCATATGCAAAACCATGAGTTTTGCTGCATGTTCGTTGTTATGCAAGGCAATCCTAAAAATAGGAAAAGAAAGGCCTCATTGATTGCTTTATTCTATTTTCAATTTAGAAAAGAAAATTAGATTAATTTGGTAAATTAGTTTTGTTCTCCAAATCATTTCCCACTTAGGAAACAAAAAGCATTTAGGTGTTTAGGAAGCCTCTCTTAAAAGGAAGGTTATTTTGTGCTTTTTTTAAAAATCTCTTTAAAAATTAATATTCTGTAAGGAGCTGTAAGGAATTAATTAGTTAAAATTTAATAGCAGTACCCATGCTAGTAATTTTCAGGTTATTCTCCTATTAACTATTCAACTAAACCAAAGTTTTTTTAGTTTATATAGTTAACTAAAGATGACTGTTTTACATTTGCATGTGTAGCATAATCTTCCTGCTGTGCCTAGGTAACACTATTCTTACCACTCTTTGGTGAAGATCAGCAGGGTGCAGCCCAAGTGTTTCAAGATGTTAATGATTACAATCGAAGATTTTCAGGACAGCCCAGATCGGTAAGTTTTGGGTAAATTTAGGTGGAAGTCAATGGTGTCCGGAGAGTTTGAGAGCAATTTTTATGTTTTTCCCCCCTTCTTTTTTTTTCTTTCCCTGGGATATGGATTTTCTCTTCCTGATGCTTAGGGCCTAGGCAACTTTTCTTTAGGAAATTCATATTGAAATGGTTAGGCCAAACCCAAAATTATTTATTTTTTTTTATTCATATTATTATTAATCAATTAATTATTCATATATCATTTATGAAAATGTAGGCAAACTTACTTTTTTCTTGTAAGTGAGAATCTAATAAGTCTTGAGTTTTCTCAAGTGTTCATGTGTTAAGTTTGTTTTTAGATATGAGTCATTATTTTGAAAGGATCAATAATTAGTCAGTAAAAATACTTAATGAAATAAATGATGTGCAAGGAAGAATATTCACTTCATTGGTCTTTTTACACTGATTATAAAGGAGAATATGAAGTTCTGCTCTGTGCCTTTCTCCTCAGACAGCTGTACGTTGTCTTGATTTTTTTTTCCCCTAGTTTATATTACAGTCTTTTTTCTCCTTTCTGAGTGAAGAAGAAAAAGAATTTTTCTTCTGTAAATAGCTAAGAGGGGTGGTCAAAGTTCTACAAATGTTAGAAAGTCAGCCTTGTGAGCCCATCTCCTGTGTACGTGTCCTGTTTTGCAAGGTGAAATGCACACACATGCATACTAGTAACCTCCCTCCTTGTCTTCATTTGTAATGGGATTTGGATATAGCAAAAAGACATTAAAAGAAAAATGTACAGTACAAAGAGACAAAAGAGGGAGGAGTATTTTTCTAAACCACAAAATGTATGGGTTTTGTCCAGAAGAGGTTGAAACTGCCTTTCAGGCTCCATTAGACCTCTCTGCGAGCTGTGTCTAGTCCCCAGTAACCTGTCTGAGGTCATGCCAGAAATCTGCACTAAAGCCCTAATTGGACTAGATAAATTGTCTTTGATTTATACACAGTGTTACCACGTACAAAATTTCTTTCTCAAAACGTTTTTCGGCTATGGCACTAAGTCATTCTGTATGGAGTTTAACAGCTCTATGTAGAAACTGTGTACCATAGAAGGGAGCCAGTATAAAAAAAGTTTTAAAGTTCACCCCTCCCTGCTCGTCACAACAAAAACCTGAATATTTTCTTTTGAGCAGTCTCTTGCTAAGCTGGCAGATTCATAGTAGCAAAATGGAAAGGAGGCAGGAATGGATTCATTTAAAGGTTCTTTAGTTTACTTTGAAGCTTCATCCATCCTTTGGAAACTTGTGTGAATCACTGGTTATACACCAGGAGAGGGGGTATTGTGTTTCTGAAAAACTGTAACCTATTCTACTTTACCCATTAGGTTTTTTCTCACAATCCTGGTTTGTCTTGCATTCTGATCAATATTTTACTCCAGTTAACCTGTTTGCTGTTTCTTACTTTCCCAGTCATTTGTTTTCCTCTATTAGTCATTGATTTTCCTTCATAATAGATGCCAGTATATTTTCTTGTGATATATATTAAGTATATGCTTTTCACTGTAGAATAACAAAGTTTAACTGTTTCTTGAAAACATATATATTCTAATGCCTTTCTACCTGGTAAAACTAAAACTCATTGACTCTTCCCGGATTTTGTTTTAATTCCTATAAACTAACAGAATCCAAGATATAATGTAGTAGTAGAAACTTCAGTTTAGCATGGATGAGTTGCTAAAGCAAAATACTAACTTTTAAATTTTTTCTTTATAGATTATGGAAAGAATTATGGATCTCCCCACTTTATTGCGACATGCTTTCAGGGAGATGTTTTCTGTAGGGGGCCTCTTCTGGATGTTTCGCATCAGGATATTCCTCTGCTTGATTGGAGCCTTGCTGTACCTGGCTTCACCTCTGGATTTTCTTCCTGAAGCTCTGTTTGGAATTCTGGGGTTCTTGGATGATTTCTTTGTCATTTTTCTGCTGCTGATATATATCTCTATCATGTACAGAGAAGTGGTAACACAGCGTCTAAATAGATGAAATGGACAAAAGTGACCTAAAGCCAAGTCAGTTGTGGAATGTTTTAAAAAGAAAACTATAATGTAAGTATGATATAGCAAGGTGCCTGTGTATGATTTCAGTTTTAACAATTTTAACAATTTCTTAGCTGGTTATGTTATACAAACATAAAGGGTTAGTATATGGTGATGCTTAACTGGAATCTTTAATTTGTGCATTACATATGCTTCATAAGGAAGAAGTTAGTTTTATAATGCTGTAATAAACCACCTTAATCTACTTCCACCTGATGAACAACTGTGTGTAATGAAAGCAGGAAACACTTTCTTTGGTGTGTTGTGGTTTGTAAAAAAGGAGTTCTAGCAAAGTACTTCAAACAATAAGCCCTTTGCATTATCTAGATGTATAAGAAAAATCAGAAATTCTTCACAGTACAGTTATCATGGTTAAATTGTTTGATGTCTCCCTGTTGTAGACTAGATTTTTTTGAAATAAAAATTGCTTTTTTTTGTCTCTGTGGAAGAAGAAACCCAAGGACCGCATTACAATTATCACCTTGCAGTTTGCTGTTGTCCACATGCTTCAGAAGAATAAGGATAATTCCTTGGTATTGCTTGAACTGCACTATGTACAGTTGCATGCAATTTGTACCATTTTATTTTTATATTTGGGAATATATACATAGTATCTGCTCTACACTGAGAAACCAGTATTATGCACATCACACTCATTAGTGCTCTATTTTTTAAGCAAGAGCATGGTTTTTCTTTTCAGACTTTTTCATTTGGCAAGTATATATCTTAGAAGCAGAGGTTTTGTGCTGCTTTGGGTCAATGCAATATGGCTGAAATGCAACTTTGCATTTCCATATATGCATTAAAATATTCTGCCAATTAGAGAGGACACTCAAATTCCAAATAGTGGTTGAAAAAAAGAAGTCAGAACTGGATGTTTACAGTACATGTACTTGTATGTGTACAGTGTAGATGTTTACCCAAATGTACATTCTGCAATATACATGTACTAAACAACATAGATATTGGGGTGATTTTCAGTTGGAGTTTTCTTGTTTGGTTGGTTGTTTGATTTGGACGTTGATAGAAGAGGTTCTGAATTACCTTGAAAAATAGTGATAAAGGACCATAAAAAAATATTGAAAGTGTTTTCAAAAATACCAGGGTATTAATTATCATTAAAGCTAATTTTTTTTTATGTTGCATTTGAGCGTAGGCTACCATAGCTGTTCAAGTAATTTGAAAATGCTTTCATTTTGAGCAATGATTGTGACTATAAAGATCCAGGATATGACAGATCATTGTACTTTTTAGCTAGAGGACTGATAATTGCAATTTAACTTCCTGAGTACTTGAAAGACAGTGAATTAATAGGTGATTCTTTGTGTGTTTACATATATAGCTGAGACTTAAAACAAAAGGGACCTTTTCACTGCTTCTGTGTTTTCCCCTTGCAGGTGTCTTTCTACAGCTTCTAGAACTTAAGCATGTGCAGGAAGATGATAGAGCTGAAACCTCAGGTGTCAGTCATTGAGGGTACAGATTGTCCTTCAGTGTCAGTGTTCTAAATGACATTAATTTAAAACTAAATTCACCAAATCTTCATTTGTAAATTTAGTTTTGGAAATCCAAGGACATTTTACAAATGAACTGGAAAGCTAAATTTTTCTTTGTTGCTGTTTGTTAGAGATGGGCAAGAAGAGAAAAGGGAAGGAAAGTAAGATTTGGAATAAAAGAGCAAGAAAGAAAATTACATTTTTGGAAGCAATGCTAGCTGACTTTTCTTGAGCATCTTGGTTGAGCTTTTCACCATGTGTTGGCATTGCTAATGTATGGTGATGTTTTAGTTTTAGTGGCTACCTCAGTTAAAGCTCTTTAAGGTGTTATTGAGTAAGGGTAAGAAATTCATAAGCTGTTAGGTGCATTTACAAAGCAAGACAGTAGTTTAGGATATTACATAAGACAGGATCTCACAGTTTTACTATAAGTGTTGTTTTTAGTTTTGGGGTTTTCTTTCTCAAGAAATCTAGCTGAAAACAAACCCCAAAAATTCTTTATTGATTGAGTAAATTTAACACCCTCTTTTCTCCTGGAGTTTAAGTTGTAGGTCTGCTTTGAGAAGAGTGTGAACTGCTCTTGTAATTAGAGTTTCTTCATGGAATTTGTTGATCTACTGCTTCATCCATACTTTTACCCTATGATTATAATTTTCCCATGACTCTCTAAATCCAGAGTGGATATAGATGCACATGAAGCTGCTTACTGATTGGTTGTCTTTGAATTTCCCAATTCCATGCACTACTGTGAAGTTCATGTGGAAATTTCCGATCCCATCTAAGGGGATCCTGTGTATCTGAAATCATACACAAACCACATCTGAAAGACTATATGAAGTTTCCCCATGTTCTTTTTCTTCAGTAAAAGAAGAAAAAGATAGCCAGAAGGGTTTCACTCAGAGGCTTCTGCTTACTTTTGAGTAACATTGTAGTCTTAAATTCAGCACATTAAATGCTTGATAGAATTATAACTGTTCTTTTCAGTGATATGCGTGCTTGCCTGTGGCTATTCTTTTTTGGTCCTGCAAGCCAATGATAAACAGTATTATGACTTGTTCAGTCCTTTTTGTGTAATGCAAAGATGCATCTGTCCTGCAATGTCTGGCCACTGCTCCTTTCCACAAATCTGAAATAGCTATAAGTTAGCTGTCTTGGGTGCTTAGCTTAAGCTTAACCTAAGAACTCCCAAGAAGCTGGAGATTAAAATATGACCATGTAGTATTCCTGAACTGTGTGCTGCCAAGTTGTTCGGGCAGCAGTGTGAAAGGTAAGGGTTAGGGCTGAACACTGGCTCCAGAATGTGAAGGAAGGAAACAGGTGATGCTGTGTGCAGAGTGACTGCAAACATTGCTGTGGTTTTGTCTCCTGAGGTGGGGGAGGCGTGTCACTAAGGGAGGGAAATTTTAAAAAGGAAAACTATAGCATGAAGATGTATGGGGATAAAACACAGTTCTTGAAAGACCACATGGGCACCAAAAGCTATGTGAAATATTTGATTGTTCTAGCAATATTAACAGAGAGGAAAACAAAAATTATACTTAATAGCTCTTACAAAATAACTTGTAGCATCTTGAGGCCTAATGATCATCGCTGTATAGAGCGATCCATTTCTGTGCTATTTGTGTGCCACACCATTGATGTCTGTGAGGATCAGGCACAGCAGTGTGGTTTGGGGATACAATTTTGCCGTAAGTTTCATAGAACTGTAGCAGTATGTTACACTAGATTTTTAAGACAAAAGAATTTAAAACTACTTATTGTTACTTTTAATGATAATAAATTACTGTTAAAGAGATTCTCTTGAATTATTTTATTTTATTGACTATCTGGATGCAATATTGTTTTATTTCCCCTTTTTCCACTTCCATGCATTAAAGTTGTAAGTGTGGCGTCCCACCCTTGAGGGGAAGGGAGTACTCAAGATTTGTAGGTGCCCATGGTCAAAAGGAATGAAAAAAGTCAGAGGATCCATGAAAACTTACGAAGTTCTATTAGTAAATTACATACTTGGCATGGAAATTGGTATAAGTTAGGACCTTATCTCCTCTATGAACACATGGCAGTGGGTTTTGAACAGAGGGGTAAGGTGAAAGGGGACAGAGAAAGAGAGAAATTAATTAAAGAGGGGGAAAGAGAAGAAAGGAGAGGGGGAAAGAGAAGAAAGGAGAGAGGGAAAGAGAGATGACCAGTCCTAGCTCCAGCATTGAATCCATCTGGGGTGTCCTGGGGATGTCCACACATGTGGGCTTGGTTGGAATACCTTTTATAAATAAATCTCCCCATCTTGGAGATAAGTTTGTCACTTTCTATGCAAATTAGTAACCCTGTGCAGTCCATTCCTCTAGACTTTTCTGGAAATGGGTTGGGGGTGGCTTTGGGGATCTTTGGTGGTCTCAATCCCCTCTTACAGTCCATGCCCACTTCTCAGCCTCATCCCTGCATTTGTGCTGTGTTGTGCCCATCTCCAGGAGCCAAAACTAGGACATTTGTCCCAGAAATGTGCTGCCCTACCTCCTTATGGCCTCTTCTCCAGCCACATCCTGTTCTTTCTCAGTGTATTATTACCAATAATTCCTGGCTGTTATCACCAACAATCCATGGCTGGCTCCATCTGGCTATCAGTTTTTGAGACATACACATTAGCCCTCTTGTCTCCTAGGATTCTACAGGCAGTAACTTTTCTGCAGTTGTGATCTGTTTTTGTTGTAGTGTCTGTGGTCAGGATGTTTAGAGTTACCTCAGTGGTTTTCATCTTTATGATTGCCAAAATAAAGATTACAAAGTTTCTAAGAACTTAGTAGAAGTGTATTATACATCAGATGTCCTTCCCTAGCAGTCCAACCCATTCCATCAGATCCATGAGCACTAAGGTTTCAGGCTGATAAACCAGTACAGATGATCAGTTAGCCCTTCACATAACAATCCTCAAGCAAACAAAAGCATAAAGCCAGGTGTATGAGAATGTAAGCAAACAGAAAATAGTCTCTGTAAGTTTACAGGAAGGATGAAGATTGGGCTTGGAAGAACTGGATGTGCCTTCTCTGTGCTGCAGTCCTGAGCTTTTCTTAATTGATGTCATGAGATGCAAAAGCATTAAGGGGTTGGCTGGAAGGGATATTTAAGGGTAAGGTGGGAACTGTTGCAGTATGTAAGCAAGCGATTCATCAAAATTTGTTTTGTGATCTTCACTTTGGTCCTTACAGAGAACAGTAAGAAAGTAGGAGGGGAATGAACAAAACAGCCAAATCCTACAAGGAAAAGAGAAATTAAACTAGAGCAGCTTCAGGTCACGTTGGTCAGATGCTGAAGACCATAGACATAAACTGTCCTAAGCTAGCAAACTGATGAGGTATATTTTGGGTCAACCTGCATTAAACTCATTACCATGACCCTCCTTAGAGCCCACACATAATAGCAACCACATCAGACAGCACCACGTCCTGGCAACTAGATGGTGAAGAAGGCTGGAAGATAAAAATGTGACCTTCTGCTCTGGAGAGTAAGGACACATCCCATTCAATGATGGGAAGCCTATGCCTGAAAAAGGTGTTTACCAAGTAGTACTTGACTGCCCTGCATAAAGTGTGGATTATTTTCAGGTTTTGCTTTATCCCCATCTTGGTAAAAGAAGAAATGAGTTTCCAGAATGAAGGCATCAGGAAGACATGATCCATTCTGCTAAGAAATGTCTTAACAAATCATACCTGGGAAGTCCAGTGCCAAGTTGGGCCAAGTCTTTTGTTAACTTTGTAGCCTGCTTTGGTACACAATTCCAGTGTTTACAGAAAAATGTGTACTTGAATAACCGGTAAGATGCTAACTGATGTTAAATCAGGTTGAATGTTTGATGAATATGTGCTACATTTGTCCTGACACCTGATGCCTATGTGCTTGCAAAAGTTCATCTTAACACTTGAAAGTTCCTCAGCCAAGGCTGCCAAAGGACATGGATTTTTTAGGAGGTCTGTTGTATTGTTGCAGTTTTGGGTAGGTTTTGTGCTTCCAGCTGTCAGCCAAACAGAAAACTGCCTGTTAGTCACCCCTACTGAAAGCTACATGGGCATTTGTTCCATGGAGACAGAGCATTAAGTCTTACTGTCCCTATTTCTTTGAGATGATGTGTCCTAGTAGATTGCCTTCTTCCCTGTTGTGTGTGCTGCATTTTTAAACTAGGGAAGAAGCTGCTGAATTTCAGTCTTATTCAACTTAGTGATTTACAGAGGATTAGAGCAGCTGTAGGTCTCGAGGTCGTGCTCCTATATGGACAGCACATCATTAGACACTGGTAAGTAGAGGTGCTTTCTGTAATGTGAGAATTTTTTTCATTCAGGGCATGAGAAGCTTATCCAAATAATAAATAATTAATACTGCAAAAGCAGGGAAAAAGAGCAGGAGTTTAGAACTCAATTTCATCTTCTACAGCTTGGATTCAGCCTCTTAGTATGCCCCACTCTGTACCATGCTGCCTTATCTGTTTGTCATCTCGGCATCCACATAAAAGGATACAGGTAATCTGAGATCTTGCCATGGGATTTCTATCACAACCTTCATGTCTAATGCTAGGGCTGCTCTACTGAACAGGTGAAATCAAAGGGTGTGGCAGGTTGGGGAGTCCTCCTAAAGTAAATTTCTAACTGTGTAATATACTCTCATTGGTATGTATGGCCTCTCATGGTACTGTATGACCTCATATGAGGACATCTGAATATCTTGTCTCTCTTTGTTTATGCTAATGCTTGATGGAAGGCGCAAGTATTATGACAAGACTATAAAATAAATCCAGAAATAAAGGTTGAAGAAAGTGGTATTTTGACTACTGGATAGACTGATGAAGATATGGGTCTTTATTTATGTTAAAGCAGGATAGTATTTTCTGTGTTAGGTAGGACTGGAGAAACCCATATGGCTGGAGTTTGAATGATAGCAAATGAGACTTTGACTAGAACAAATTTGCCAAAGTGATTGGGGAGGGGATTTTGTGTTGTGGAACCTCTCCTGGGAGGCCTCTGAAGGCAGGCTGACACCTGTAGGGACTGTTTTTTGCACAGCTAGCCCTGCCTGGGGAAAGGGCAGGACAATGAAAAGGTGGCTGCTTTCAAGCCAGCTAGTCTGGGCCTTAATAGATGTGAGACCAAAGAAGCTTGATCTCACCATTTATTGCTCATGGTGTTTCTGACACACATTACCTGTATGCATCAGCTGGCAGACCTGACCAGCTTACCTTTTCCCAGGAATTTTACTTAATAGCAGTGTTTAAAATCTATGGCATAACAATACGGCTACACCTTATTTCAGGACACCTTAAAGAATATTTACTATAATATTCCATTTTATTGGCAAAACTCCTTGTTTGTCTGATATTTTCCAAGTAGAGGACTGTTTCTCATGATTAACAGATGATTAATTGGTGGGAGAGAAGGAGAGGGGAAAGAAACATAATTGATAATATTGAGTCCATTGCTCACTGCTGGCAGGCAACTAATGGGGGACCATGGGTGTATCAGGTGTTAGTAATAGCTTGGCTAGAATATGTTTCATGGAAAGCTGTTCAGCTTCACACTAGCATATGCTGTGCTTCACAGTCAAAAATTGTTTTCTACCCCTTCCCCCTTTTGCCTTCATTCTGGAAACTCATTTCTTCTTTTACCAAGATGGGGATAAAGCAAAACCTGAAAATAATCCACACTTTATGCAGGGCAGTCAAGTACTACTTGGTAAACCACCTTTTTCAGGCATAGGCTTCCCATCATTGAATGGGATGTGTCCTTACTCTCCAGAGCAGAAGGTCACATTTTTATCTTCCAGCCTTCTTCACCATCTAGTTGCCAGGACTTGGTGCTGTCTGACGTGGTTGCTATTATGTGTGGGCTCTAAGGAGGGTCATGGTAATGAGTTTAATGCAGGTTGACCCAAAATATACCTCATCAGTTTGCTAGCTTAGGACAGTTTATGTCTATGGTCTTCAGCATCTGACCAACGTGACCCGAAGTTGCTTTAGTTTGATTTCTCTTTTCCTTGTAGGATTTGGCTGTTTTGTTCATTCCCCTCCTACTTTCTTACTGTTCTCTGTAAGGACCAAAATGAAGATCACAAAACAAATTTTGATGAATCGCTTGCTTACATACTGCTTACATACTGCAACAGTTCCCACCTTACCCTTAAATATCCCTTCCAGCCAACCCCTTAATGCTTTTGCATCTCACAGGCCATGGATCAGGAAGGAAGCTAGATGTGTCTGTTGTTAAAGGGCGAAACTCCTCATGCAGCAACCTGAAGACAGTTTACTACAGCTCTGTGGTTCTGCCTCCTGTCCACGCAAGCAGCTAGGCATTCTGGGTCTGGTGCCTTTTCCGAAAAAAGGTGCAGGATCTGAAGTCCAGCAGACTTTTTCCTTACACCAATAACTTCCCTGGTTTGGTAGCTGCAAGTGGAGAATGAAGCACCAGAAGAAACAAAGCATCACAGAGACCTCCTGTTTAAGCAGGCTGTGTTTGCGCCTGAGAGGCTGGAGAAGAGCCCACAAACTAAGGAGCAGTTGCATTCAGTTTCAGTCACATCTGGAGAGACTGGTTTTCTCTATCGTTGAGGTTGTCAGGTACAAGTCTTTTCTTGATGAAAAACAAAGCATTGCTTTGAAAATAATCTCTGTGGTGTTAACCTTTATTTACATATAGGTATTTTGGGCCCCTGGGCTTCTTGTTCTCATGATTTCTTTCACAGCTCCCACAAGTAAAGATTGCCTCAATATGAAAAGAAGAAGAGAAAACTCAGTAATCATACTGCAACTGCAAGAAC